CGTGATCTGACACGTGACGCGACACGGGTGTGGAAACCGAAAAAAATTCTGTAACCGATTGTGGCAACCATGCATTCTTGAAGAAGGCCTGTCTCAGGCCGAAACGTCGACTCCATAATTGCTTTAAAACTCCAACAACATTTCGAAGCGCGACTTCATTAATTTATATATATATATGGGTGGTTTCATTTCAAATCGTGCAGGCAAAAAAGGTCGAATTTTTAATTTCGATGAAAAAAATATATGTTATGGCGGCGTCTCTAAAACCGCAGTCGCCACAAACAAGTTCGTCGGATTTTTCGTTCTCGACTTATGAATTTTTAAAGAGGCCGTGGAGAAAAGCAGTGTTTTTCACACCCGTCGTGGGTTGGATGTTTCGCTTGATCTCCCGCCGTGGATTTTCAGTCCACACTATATTAACTTTTTTCAAACACTTTGTGAGCACAGGTAAAATGCTCCAATAGCATAAAATAATTTTAGGCGTTTTGCTTTTTTTCTGTAAAAATGTCAAAAACGCCCCCTCGGTCAATTGTTGACGAACTTTGACAATTAATTACCGGTGATCTACTTGGGTTACATTGATATTGTTTATATCCACGGAGAGCCCAAGACACGCTCTTTATCCGTATTATAAAATGACTCGGCTGTATAAAATATCCTTTGCGGTACATTTACGTTAATATTATGCGAAAACCAAAAAGTACCATTTTTGAAATTGATTTTCTAAAAAAAAAACATTTTTTTTATTTTTTTATATTTTGTTTAAATGTAGATATGATAGTTGTCTACACGAAAATTAAGCCGAGAAAATGTGTATTTTTTTTAATGTTTTATATTTAGGCCTCAATATCGGAAAAAGGCGTCTTTGTTTTGCAAGACCTAAGTCAGACATAGCGACCCATGCGTCTCTATGAATTGTGAAAATTTTTTCTTGAATTTTCTTCTGCATTTTGTAATCAATTATAAACGAATTTTGTGGTATTGAATATTTATTTATGTTTTGATAAGAGCGGGAACCACGAGAAACATCTCTAACCAAATCAGCAGGCCTAGTAGACTTTCAATAACCAAAAGGCACAGACGTTGTATTGTTTCGATTTATAAACCTTTCACAGTAAACTATCACGGCTAGCTATTAGCTGTCTTATTACTAAGACAAAGAAAGTCACCACATCGTCGATATATGATATACCATTCTTTCCGAAACCAAACACTGGGGTTTGTTCACCGCACATCGCACAGGTCACGAGGGAATGTCCTTTCACTTCCGTAATACACAAAAGTGATGACACAGAAACGGTCAGAAACACACAGAGAGTGTGTCACGGAGAGGGGTAGGAAATAAAAATAAATAAATAGGAATAAAGTTGTCCAACTCCGATCTTAATGAAAATTGCGTTAAGAAAATAAAGTATTTAGGTTCGAGCGGTGGCAAGGCGATGGGTCCACGCCTGGTGGACAGTCAGACAAAGAAGTCGACGACACGTAAAGGTGAAAAACAAAACAAAAAAAAAACAATAATTTAATAAAGACGGAAGAACAAAGACCAACTCCTCCGGGCATTTCCTAAACGGGACGCAACCAAATGCGTGCGAACACGCTCTCTACATCACCGCCGCTACGCCATGACAAAACAAACCCAACAACTGTACAGTGCTAACAAACAGTTAGTAAGAAAACATTGAAAAAAAAAAAGAACGTTCAGAAACAACCGCACCCGAGAAACAAAGTTCAGCGGGGCGAAGAAACCCACACGAGTCGGTCCCACGACACTGAACTCTGGCAGGATGACGGCGTCCAGATGATGCTCGAATCTGTTCCACCCTCTATTAAGCACACCCACGACGGCTATGCGGAACAGTGACTGTGCGAAACAAAGTGAAGAATAGATTCGAGCAGCGATGCGCGAGAAGGTAACCGAGACTGCCTCAAGCTTTATTTCGGGAAAGGAGCTTTCAAGGTAGTTTCTGCAGTTACTCAAACTTTCTCTTTCCCTTTCCCTCTTTCGAAAGAACACGTCAGCCGGCGGTAACTTTTGAACTCGGGAGAAGCCCACTCTTCACAAACGGTTATAGTTGACAAGGACGCTGACTTCGGCCCAACTAGTCTCCAGGCAGAATACAAACACAAGTATATTTACCAACACGCTCGTTTTAATGTCAATCTCCGGGCTTTGCTGTTTCCAAAAGGGATAACCCTTTATAAGGACAGAACGAGCGGGTTGGTGGGGATAATTAAACTTAAACAGTCCCTTCTCGTTTCTTCCTCAAGTTTAATAGATAACCCTTCGGTGCTATCGGATCTCCCCGGAGAGAGAGAGAGAGCACGGCCGTTTCAAGGTAAGGAAAGGGCGCTCGAAGCTCGGGCAAGCAGGCGGTATCGTTTCACGCATGCACGGATGGCTGGTTTCAAATTTTCCCACATCCCCAACGAAACTGACCCATCTTCCTGTGTGCGTCTGCAAGATTTGTGTACCGCGCCGCCGGTTTTAGCGCGCACGCGGCGTTGTTTTAGCTGGCAGAACAGTTGTTGACCGTCGATATTGTAAGGCCGTGGTGTCCTCGTCCTTTCAAGCAACGATTCCTTTGCTTTCCCTTGTGGAATACTCTGACTGACTCCTCCTGGGTGACTGTCACTGTTCGCCGCGTTAACGACACATTCGTACCATTCCACTCCTCGTGACACAGGGTGCGCTGCTCGCTTTACTGTCACGGGCCGGCCTATCTAACACAACGAGCGCGAAAGGTCGTGGTCATCTGCTGGCTCCGAAAGGGCGGGACGTTCATGCAGGCCAATGAGGGCCCCAAATCAATACGACGTCTGTCGACTCCCACACGTTAAAAATTTACGACACCTGCTGGTCTGTTAAGAAGTGTTACTTTCTTTTTTTAACTCCTCCGATATAGCTTGCCGCCTATAATAAAATTTAAATAATAAATAAATATAACAGGGTAGAACTACTATATTTGATTGTTATGTGGGAAGGTTGGAAAAGGAAAAAAATGTTTTCCAAGTTTGTGAAGACGCGCAATTCGCAAGTCCATTTCGAGCCATAAAAACACGTTTTTGTACGATATTGATGCGTAAATATAGAACATTCAAACAAAATACACACTTTCTCGACTTAATTTTCGTGTAGAAAACTATTACTTCTACAATTTAACAAAAAATGAAAAAAATAAAAAACTGTTTTTTTTTAGAAAACCAATTTCACATATGGTCATTTTTGGTTTTCACATCACATTAACGTAAACGTACCGCACAAGATATTTTATAAAGCCGAGTCACTTTATAATATATATAAAGAGCCTGTTTTGGGCTCTCCGTGGACATAAAAAATATTTATGTAACCCATTCATGTGAATGTTGCAAAAACAAAACTGATGTGTTTTCGAAATCCGCACAAACAGATAGTAACATCTCCAAATATTTGCTTGCACTCGGTGCAGTGTCTGGATTGCAGCTGTAAACCGTTAACATACGACAGTTCAGTTAAATATTTAGGCGTCTTTGTTGACGAACACATGCTGTGGAATGCGCAGGTGGAATGTGTTGTAAAAAAACTGCGAGTCATATCAGCGTATTTGTATAAACTCAAAAGTATGCGCAGCTTGAAGATAAGATTACTTGTGTTTAAATGTTTGGCGGAAGCTGCATTACGGTACGGTATTACACTGTACGGTCATTGTTCAGAATACAAAACACGAGCGATAGATAGGATACTAAAGCACATGATAAACAACATATCATATGGAACTTCATATCAAGTATTGGAAACTCAAGAGAAAGCTAAAGAGCTGAACATCCTGTTTTTTAAAAGCTTTTTTACATACGTAGCAATAACAAATAATTATTTCAGTAATTCCTACAAAACTGTCGTAAATAAAAATAGAAATTTGAGACGTATTGAAAGATACGTCATTCCGAAAATATACACACTGTATGGAAAGAAAAACAGAAATCATTACATTCCTTCTTTATTTAACGAACTCCCAGAGTCCCTTATGAATATAGATTCCACTAGGGCACTAAAAAGGAAAGTAAGGAATTGGTGCCGAGCATCCGAGCTGTAGATATCGTAGCCTGACCGTTGCAGATATTTCGTACTTTTATTTCATGGTTGCATGAGCAGACTTGGATATAAGCACCTATATTTCATGCTTCTAACGTGTTCCATTTTTGTATTTATTTGTGTTGCTATTTGGGTGTTCCTTTCATTTTTGTTTTGTGTTGCGGAGTGCTATCTTTCTTTGTTTTTGTTACAACATGTATTCTAGTTGGTCGCCTGGCCCCACATACAAGCAGAATGCTGCTTTTGTGGGCCAGCTCTTTATTTTGTATTACTTGATCTGAAAATAAAAATTGAATTGAATTGAATTGAAGTAGATGGCCAGTAATTAATTGTCAATGTTCGTCAACAATTGACTGAGGGGGCGTTTTTGACATTTTTACAGAAAAAAAGCAAAACGCCTAAATTAATTTTATGATATTGGAGCCTTTTAAATGTGTCCACAGAGTGCTTGAAAAAAGATAATATAATGTGGACTGAAAATTCACGGCGGGAGATCAAGCGAAGCATCCGATCCACGACGTGTGTAAAAAACACTGCTTTTCGCCGGGGCCTCTTTAGAAATTCATAAGTCGAAAACAAAAAATCCGACGAACTTGCGGTTTGTGGCTACTGCGTTTTTAGAAACGGCGCCGTAACATATATGTTTTTCATCGAAATTAAAAATTCGACCCTTTTTGCCTGCAGGATCTGAGATGAAACCACCCATATATATATATATATATATATTGTGGCCTTAGACACGACTAAAATACAAAAAAAAATGAGGGTGAGTTCCTCATTTAGTATTCCTACTCAAGGGGCTGAAGGTGTAAATCCACGAGACACATTTTTACTTGTGGACAAACGGAAACGCCCGTTAATGTATAAAACCTTTGTAACGACCCCTATTTAAAGAATATTTGAAACTTCTTGTGGGATGGTGCCATACCGTTAGGATGAAGTAAATTGTGCAGGCCGTAAGGGAGATTTTTCTTCCGTAGCGAGCACGCAGGTACTGCAGAAAAGGAAAACATTGATGTTAGTCAAACTTACTTTGATGGTACTGTCAAGGCGCAGTTCTTAGGAATCTTTATGACTACGGCTTTATTTAAGTAGTCAGCAGTGTGGTAGTACGCACTAACTGTGAAATACTTTTTTAAGCAATAGCTTTCAAACCTTTAAATGTCTTAATAATATTTCGCCATCTACGCCACTATGTGCATTTGGAAAGGGCAAATTTCGGATGGCTCCCATGTGAAAGAGGAGAACACCGGTGTTTGAAATTACTTGTAAGTGTGCGAAAATAGTTTCTGCTGCATTCCTGGTACTACACTGTTGCATTTGGAACAATACAGTGATGTCTCGTTAATATGGACATCTCCGTTCACCCCCAAGAAAGGTACATAATGTGAGCTATATATTAAAACCAGACGAAAATGCATGCATTTGACTGGTTCTTACCCGAGAATCGTCGTTTAAATAGTAGGACATTCGTACTAACAAAGTTTGCTTGAACTAGACACCACTAAAAAATTTATAACGTAAAAGCCTTTTGAAAATATAAATTCGCACTAGTCTATTCTTTCTTTTTTCGCACGTATATGTTATTTCCGTTTTTGCTCTACACTGCGATACTTTTGAATCATAACTTAGTGTAAAATTAAAAACAAAAAGTTTCTTAACGAATCGATGACAGAAGTGACTGAAGCCTGTAGCAATATCAAGCCCGATAAAGATGTGTATTTTGCCACCTTGAGATGGTTATACCTACCTGGATACATTCTTGCGACACCCAAACTTTCACAAAAAAGAGGATTTAAGAAAATAGAGCGAAGTTTCAAATACGCTGCTCTACTTGTTTGCTAATGAACAAATTTCAAATAAAGCACGATCATTTTTGCTGCAAGCGCAGCCGAATGAACTAAGGTCCCTTTATACTGAAGGTAACGCAGTTGATCCTCTCTACGCGTTTCGCTTCTATACACCTGGGCAAATCCTCTTTCAAAGGCTCGGAGCTGCCATTACCGGGCAAGGGCAGACGCCCAGACTACAATAGTGTCCGGCCAAAAGCTACCCGTACTCAATGCGGACAGCATGCTTCGGATTGAAGTCACGTACCCTTAACGGGACACTGACACCACTAACATTTCTATTTAATTTTTGCCAGGCGATTAAATATGGTGTCAGGATACTACCCACTCAATATTTTGATGCACAGTAGCGTATATGCTAATAAAGCAATAATAATTAAAAAAAAAAAAAACTCAACTGTTCAAAACCGAAATTGTAACACGATTACCGAAGCTCATGGCCGGAAGTCACGTGGCTAGGTTTGATCGCATTGTTTCTCCCTCCGCTTTTCCAGCCCCTGAAGCAGGCGACGTCGACGACGACGAACTTGCGTGAACCGTGTGTCGCGTGATTGTTTCGCACTTATATTCCTTCTGCTCTATGTTCTGCGCTTCAAGATCGATTGGCCGGTACCACAAACAAACGTTCTGAAGTAGTGCGCCACCATGGCCGTCGCAACGTTGGTCCGTCGGGTTCCTCCATCTCCTCGTCCAGCCCGCGGTAGGTCGGAATATTGAAAATGACGTGTACACGTACTTTCTGTGACCTGAGCAACTCTTTTTTTTTATTAACGTATTTGCAGGTTTTTGGACGTTACATCAAATAGGGTTCATATTCTTTCCTATTTTTAATATTGAATATGTGTCTTAGATAACCCACGATTTTTGATACATTTGATACACATAGTTTGAGCGCCACGTGACCATGAAAACGAGAGTGAGTGCGACTGACACCGTTCATTTTCAGACTGGCTGTTTTCGGACGGGAAAAAAAGGAATTTCGAGCAGCAAATTGTGCTCTGCGTATGTGGGCACTTATAGGTCATATTCAAATAAAAACATCTGCGAGCATAAATACCCTGTTGGCTAGCCTTTAAGCACGAGAACGACGGTTTTTATTTTGTCATGTAAAATATACCGTTCGTATGCCGGGTTCATTTCACCAGTGTTGAATGTTGAGCCTCTAACGTTCCCTAGAGCGGCAATACAAAGATAATAATTGGCGCAGCGCACACGAACGCACACTTCCTGGTGTGGAATACATTGGACCCATCTAGGGCGCAACGAATAAAATTGTGCTCTGCGTATGTGGGCACTTATAGGTCATATTCAAATAAAAACATCGGCGAGCATAAATACCCTGTTGGCTAGCCTTTAAGCACGAGAACGACGGTTTTTATTTTGTCATGTAAAATATACCGTTCGTGCAACGTTATTTGAACATGTAAGTAAGCGGGAATGCCTTTGATGAGAAATGTAATTGCAAAAAGAGTAAGTGTCGCGTGTATTTAGGGCACAGTCTCGAGCGCGTTAAAACGCAAAACATTTAAATTGAAGGTGAAGGCAGTAGTTATTTTGGGGCATTCACATACACCGGTTTTATGTTTACTGGTTTGTTGTGGCAAGTGCCAAGAACAGGTAATTGAGAGAAAGGTGTTTCTTGTGCGTGAAAAAACTTTGACCGCAAAAATACATTTGTAAAACACGCATCATGTGAGGTAGGTTCACCAAAGAAGACTGCAGCACATTTACAGGCAGGAAACTTAGGAGACAAAAAATACTGCTAACTCTATTGTCAATGTCGGTGAACGTAAGTTTTAACCCATAAAAAAGTACGAATACTTGAACCGTTTTTGTTGAATTATGCGCGAGAGTTCGAAACACTCTCGCAGGCACACCTTATGACTCTTCGCTGTTGTTCACTGACGTGGAGGAAACAGCAAGGAGCGTAGGGAGCTCCTTAAATTCTCGATTAGATCTCGAAAGGGAAGAGCAAGGCTTTATTTCATAATGGAAATCAGTGTACGATGAACACACGTGGTTTCTAATGACACAAGCCAATCATTAGGTAAATGTCTACAAACATTCGGAACCGGCGTTATGTTGGTGCCACGGTTAACAAACGTTATTATGCTGACGTTGGCTTTTACATCACTGAGGGAAACCTAGATCTACTACCACATGTCGTCCTCAGACGAAGAGGCGCCGCCAGGGGGCCAGCTTGGCTCGACGAACTTCACGTGAGCTCCCGTCTTTTTACTTCTTTTGACAAAATCTCTGAAGGTTTTATATCAATCGGTTCGCACAAAACAAAGCGCAAACGCGTAGAAAAAAAAACACGAGATAAATTTTAAGACCCAGTCGCGGATTAGGGACCCGGCGGTGGTTTAGAAGGGAAACTTAAGACGCCGGCCAAATCCAACATGGCCCCCCATCGACGTGATGCTCCAGGGAGCCCAAGACGCCTTCGCCCCCGACCGCTGTGTCCTCGAAGCGCCCACGCTCCAGCGACTCCCATGGATACAAAGCGGAATGGTTCAGGGGAGGCTACCGTGCTCAAGACCACCAATCATCGGCATCCCGTCACTGAAAGCACTGACTCGGGAGCGCCGGCGGTCAGGACGTCCCCAACGGTCGACGAGATTCAAACCGGGACCATTGCCGGCCTCCCGGGGTGCCTGGAGGGAGGCCACGCCCACGCGCCCCCAACTCGGCCGACGTGCACCCATTTCGAAAGACGGAGAGAGAGAACATGCGCCTCCTGCGGTTCCCCCTTCACACCCCGGCCGTGCCCCGGACTCACCAGGAGCGTCCTCAACTCAGCGAGAGGCTTCCTCCGTCTCGCGCCCCATCCACATGCCCGTGGAGAGGGTAATGAACGATTGAGTGATTGATTGATTAGGGTCTTATGGCGCAAAAGCATCCTAGGCTATGATGCGCCAGATACAGACTATTGCAGAGAAGGTTTCAGAGGAGAAAGAGCTTTAGTAGCTGTGGTAGGTTAAAACTATGTATATGACTTGTAATTAGTGAAGGAGATGAAGTTGAATATAAAATTATAGCCGGTGTAAAAGACCGATAGCTCCCAAAAAGTTAAAAACACAACTGTGTGGTACAAGTGGGTCGTTGCCAAGTAGAATACTAAGGTGTCAAGGCGTATGCTCATTATATAATTGAGAAAAATGTTTTCGACGTTCTCTGTCATACGCTGGGCATTCAAGTAAAATGTGTAAAACTGTTAGAGGACTAAAACAGTTCTCATACTCTGGGGCCTCTTCCCTGCGCAGGAGGTGGCCATGAGTAAGGTGTGTATGACCCATCCTCATTCGACACAAGACAACCTCATAGAAAAGTTCACGGTGTCGAGCACTCTCCCATTGACTGATCAGTGGTTTTACAGAATGGAGCTTGTTATTAACTTCTTCATCCCATTCTTGCTGCCACTTCCTTCTAATACAATGCTTTAAAAGTGTGCTATAACCTTTGTATGGAATGTCATGCAGGTCCACTTCTTGCTCACCAGCAGAACTTGCAGCATGGTCTGCTTCTTCATTTCCGGGTATACCAACATGGCTAGGAACCCAACATAAAATTATTTTAGTATTCCTTTTTGAAGCATCAATAATTTTATTCTGTAACTCCATGATTTTTGGGTTTTTCGAAGTCTTTAATGATGAGAGTGAACGCAGAGAACTCAGTGAATCAGTGTACACGACTGACTGCTTGCTCTTTGTTTTTACAATGTGATCAACTGCAAGACGGAGACCGCATAACTCTGCTGTTAAAATAGTTGCTGTACACGCAATCCGTTTTACACAGCGAACAGAGGGGCCGACCATAGCACATTCAACAAACGAATCTGCCTTAGTACCATCCGTGTAGTATGAGTTGTGTCCAGAATATCTACTCTGAAGCTCAAGAAATTCCTGTTTTATGTATTCTGGTGGAGTTTCTTTCTTTTTAATTTTCGTTAGTGAAAGGTCTCAGGAAATGAGGCAGTGGTCCCACGGAGCTATAGCTTGTTGAACAGGAGTGACGGGCATTGTACTACTCAGTCCAATTGAATCTGCTTTGGATGCATTTCTCATACTAAAAGGTGGTATTACAGTGGGCTTGTTGTCAAAAGTATGTTTATATCTCATTTCTTCAACAGCTTCTCGAGAAG